CGCGGGGCGCAAGGGCCACACGCCGCTGCACAACGCCTGTGCCAACGGGCACCCCGAGCTGGCCCGGCTGCTGCTGCGCCACGGCGCCGACGCCGCCGTCCCCAACGGCGCCGGGGACACCCCCATGGACTGCGCCCTGCGCGCCGTGCGCGAGTACCGCCAGCAGCGGCCCGAGGAGACCCTCGCCCTCCTGCTGGACCACGGCGCCCGCCCCGCGCACCCCAAGGTGGGGCGCGGGGGTGACGGGGGGCACGGGGCGGTGGCGGTGTCACGCCTTGGTGACACGGCTCTGCTGGCAGATGCTCAGGCTGTGCTGCCAGCACCCGCCGGCGCTGGAGGTGATGCTCAACGCCTACGACCGCGTGCCCCCCGCCGACGGCTGGGTGGAGGCCGTGCCCCCCGAGATCTGGGAGGTAAGGGGGTGTCCTGGGGGGTCCCGGGCTGTGCCCCTGTCCCCAGCCCAGCCCACCGTCCCCCGTGTCCCCCTGGCAGGAGCACCAGGAGTTCTATGCCTCGGCCGTGCGCATGGTGGGGCGGCCGCGGCGGCTGCAGCACCTGGCGCGTGTGGCCATCCGGCGTCACCTGGGCGCCCGCTGCCACGCCGCTGTCCCCAGGCTGGCACTGCCACCCCCGCTGCGCCGCTACCTCCAGCTGCCCATCGAGGGTCTCATCTCCTGAGGGCACTCCGTGTGTCCCCACTGCTGTCCCCTCCGTGTGTCCCCTCCATGGCCCCCACCGGTGTCCCCTTGCTGTGTGCCCCCCGTGCCCTGGTGTCAATAAAGGACATGGCAGAGGTGGCTTTGTGGGCAATGGCAACTGCTGTGGGGACAGGGGACTGTGGGGACGAGGGGGGACAGAGCCAGCGGGTCGCAGGTGGCAGGGAGGGGACAGATGGGCCCTGGCGGATGTGGGGGCAGGGGATGAGGGGGTGACAGCGCGGCCGGGGGGGTCCGGTCCCGGTCTGGGCCTTTGGGGGGGGGCGGGGTTCAGCCCGCAGTTCCCACGATGCTCCCGAGGCCCCGCCCCGCCGCGGCCCTGACCCCGCCCCAAACGGACCCCGCCTCCAGTCACAGCTCCGCCCACTCACGGCCCCGCCCACTTTGGGGCGCGTCCCGCTCGCTCCACCCTCTCATTGACCACGCCCACTGGGCGCGGTCGTGACGTAACCCTCTCGCGCCCCCCGCCCCCTCCCGCCCCCTGGCGGCGCGCGCTGTGACGTGGCGCTTCCGGCGCGGGCGGCGGCGGCGGGAGGCGGTGAGTGGGGGGGGGGCACCGGGACCCCCGGGGACACCCCGGGACCGCGGGGCTGACAGGGACACACCGGCACCCCCCGGGATGGCCGGGGCTGGCAGGGACCCCCGGGATACACGGGGACCGGTAGGGACACACCGGGACCCCCGGGGACCGGCAGGGACATCCCCCGCTCCTCCCGCCCCGCCGTGCCCGGGCTCCGCTGACCGCATCGCTCTGCTCCGTCCAGGTCGGGGATGGCCTGACCCTGCCCCGCTGGGCACCGAGGGGCTGCGGGACCCTCCGGGACCCCCGGGACCCTCCGCCGGGCCCGGTGAGGTGAGCGCAGCGCTGCCCGTTCGGTGTCTCGGGAGCGAGGAGCGGAATCCGCAGCGAGCAGCTCCCGTCGCTGCGGTCCCCGGTGCCCGGGAGCAGCCGCGGGGTCCGTTCTGAGCCCGAAGGTGGCACCGGGGCAGCGCCGGGGGTCCCCACTGCCGCCGCACGGCTCGGTCACCCCGGGTACCGCGGGCTCCAGGCGGGGGTCGCGGAGATGGAGCCCCCGGCCGCCCCGCTCATCCTGGGGGTGGGCGACGAGGTGACGCTGGTGGCCGGGGTGGCCGTGCTGGCGCTGGCGCTGGTGCTGGCCTGGCTGTCCACGTACGTGGCGGACGGCAGCAGCCAGCTCCTGGGCACCGGGGACGCGGCCGTCATCCGCCTCGGGTCCGCGGGGGCCGCCGAGGCCCCGGAGCCCCCCGGGACCCCCGAAAGCGCGGAGGAGAAAGCGGAGGAGGAAGGGGAGGCGGCGGCGGCGCGGGGGGACAGCGGGAGCGCCCCCGAGCCCGGCCCGGAGCAGCGGCTGGAGGCGCGGAGCTCGTCCCGGGACCCCGCCGAGCCCGGTGCCCCCGCGGCGGGGGACGCGTGTCCCGGCCTCATCAAGATCCGCCTCAAGTTCCTCAACGACACCGAGGAGGTGGCGGTGGCCCGGCCCGAGGACACCGTGGGGATCCTCAAGAGGTGAGGCCCGGGGGACACGGGGGGGTGTGTGCAGCTTTCATCCCTCCCGCTGTGCCAAAAATACCGGGGGCTGTGGGCTTTGGAACAGCGAGTTTAAAAGAGGCGGCGGTGGCAGTGCCATCGCTGTCCCCTCCCCGTTTAACGGCGGGGGTTCCCACCCCGGGGGGCTCCGTGAGCGCCGTCTCTGCCGCCTCCAACCCGCTCCGTCCTCCCGCAGCAAATACTTCCCGGGCCAGGAGAGCCAGACGAAGCTCATCTACCGCGGGCAGCTGCTGCAGGACCAGGCGCGGACGCTGCGCTCGCTCCGCATCACCGACAACTGTGTCATCCACTGCCACCGCTCCCGGGGGGCCACCGCGGCCGCCCCCGCCCTGCCGGAGCCCGGCCCCGCCGCCCCCGCGGCCCCGGGGCTGCCCCTGGGCGGGGGGACGCTCATGGTGCCCACGGTCATGGTGGTGCTGGCGCTGGGCTGGTATTTCCGTATCAATTACCGGCAGCTCTTCACGGCCCCGGCCACCGTGTCGCTGATCGGTGTCACCGTGCTGGTCACCTTCCTGGCCTTCGGGGTGTACGGACAGGCGGGGTGAGGCGGGGGGGAGCCGGGGAGGCACCGCGGTGTCCCTGTGCCCGTCCCCGGACCGGAGCCAGCACAGTGGCAGCTCGGCGTGTAGGTCCCAGCCTTGCTGCCGGACTTTACCCCCCAAAAAGGGGCTGTGCCCCCCCAAAACTGCACTGCCCCTGCCCAGCCCCAGCTCCGGACAGTGGGACAGCACTGGAATGGGCCGCGGCTTCTTCCCAAGGACTTTTTAATGCGAATAAAGGGTGTCGGGTCACCCCAGTGGTACCTTCCTGCTCTGGGGCTGCTCTCTCCTACCCCCCCCATGGCTGGGGGGCCATAAAAACAAATCCGGCCCCACCCGTGGGGAATGGAGTGGGGGGAGATGGATGGGGGTGGGGGTAAAGGCCCTGTTTAATTAACGAGCCGTAATTAATGCCAGGGATACCAAGTCAAGATGCAGTTTTATTTACAGGGGCAGCCACAACCCACTCACGGGACACACAGACCTCACAAGGGCTCATTTCCCCTGCGGGGGGGGGGACACGCAGAAACACCGGGGG